TTACTTACTCCGTTTGGGTTATATGGAAGACCTGAAAATGGAGAACCCCTGAAACCTGATCGTGATAAAGCTATAGGATATTTTAAGCGGTGTTTAGAATTTCTTCCAAAACCATATGAAAGTAATGATACTCATAGGTAATTCCTCCAAGAATAAAATTACTTTTCAATAAGTATAAAAACCTTTTTATTAACCTAGTTTTACTGCTTTCATTTTTTAACAACATATTAGGATGACATTGGCTTTTTATTCTTTATCGGGTTTGGATCTTTTGGGTGCTCTTGAAACCGAATTTACACAAGAACGAATAAATAATTGGATTAATTGGATATATGCTCAACAAATTTTACCTGATGAAAATAATCCAGGTGCTTTCATACAAACCAACATATGGATGACACGTGAATTCATTAATAATAATTTCGCATAATCGAAATTCAGAGCTTAACGAAAGGATTTGTGGTTTCAGGGGTTCTCCATTTTCAGGTCTTCCATATAACCCAAACGGAGTAAGTAAGAAAATTTTATTAAAATACAATGACTAAAAATTAATGGGATACTTATATACAATATGAATTTAACATTTGAAGAGCCGTGCGTCAAGGTTACCATTCGATGCGTCAAATCTTGCAATGACTTATACCGCTCTTACTTCTTTACTCATCTTAGGAGATGATTTATCACGTGTAGATAAGTCGGCGATAATTAATGCAATGAAATATCTGCAAAATAAGGATGGAAGGTAAGAACTTATCTTTTTTCATAGTTGTTATTATGCAATCTGATAAATATTTTAAAATGTTACATTCAACAGTTTCACTCAAACATATCAAGGCATGGAATCTGACATGCGGTTTGTATATTGTGCATGTGCCATATCATATATATTGAACGATTTTAGTGGAATTAATGTAGATAAAGCTATTGAATATATAAAAAAATGTCAGGTATTTAATTTCTATAAACGTTTGAATTTTCTTAATGTATATACAATTTATAAATTTCGTTTATAAAAGTCATATGATTATGGCATTGGTCAAGGACCTGGTGAAGAGTCACACGGTATGTTTATTTACCTTTGATGATATAATTAACAAAACATTCTGTCAACTAATTAAAACTTAAATAGGAGGATCAACATACTGTGCTATTGCCTCACTTTATCTTTTAAACAAACTTGATGAGGGGCTTTTATCAAAAGATAAAACCATATTCTGGCTTATATCACGCCAAGAAAGTGGGTTTCAAGGACGAGCCAATAAACCACCTGATACATGTTATTCATTTTGGATTGGTGCATCGTTAATGGTTAGAGTTTTTTTATTCATGATACTATAAATACATATAAAGCTCACTTATTCTTATTTATGAATATAAGATGTTAGATTCTTTTGAATTTATTGATTACGAACAGAATTATAATTTTTTAATGGAAACTAGAACTTCGCTTGGTGGATTCTCAAAATGTCCCGGATATTACCCTGGTAATAACCATATTACAATAATAACTCTATTTTTTTTTAGGTACTGATATTTTTTAATGCCTTTACATTTAAGATGTAATGCACTCATATATGGGAATGGCAGGATTATCACTTATGGAAGATTCCAAGAAATTAGATCCGGCATTGAATATATCATTGAGAGCAAAGGAAAATTTATTAAAGAGAAGTGTATTCAAAAGAGAATGAAATTATAAGTGATAATTTAATATTATCGTTATATTTTTAAACAATTGTATATTTAGCCAATTAGTAGTAGTCGATAGAATTTATTTAAAAGTTAATTAATAATAATGATTATTATTAAATTAAAGATCGAATATAATATTGACGTTAACCAACCACCTAATAATATATGGTTTTAATAATACCAGTGTTTATACGAATTATTTGCAATAAATTACGCGAGTGTATGCCAAATTGTTACGCAAAATGATGTCGGCTAAATGACTGTTGACAAGCCATCGGACAATAGTAAACTATTTGATGACCAATATCTAAGCTCTATAAACTTGCATCGTATAGAGAATATATAATACTTAGAATCAAGTCTCAAGCTTAAGGTTTAACTTTACAGAAACCCACTTTATTATTTTCATAAATTCTCCCTTGTCATGAAACTCCATTTATAATAAAATAACTTTAATCATTGATATTTTTAATGATTTTACAATTTAGAACATGATTACTTGAAAGGGTGATAATAAGTTCATTTTCTAATGATCTTAAATTTAGAACATTATTACTTGAAAAAGTAATATAAGTCCATTTTCAAAATAATTTAACTATTTAATTGTTAAAATTTAACAATTTCTCTTATTTACATTCCTAGTGTTGATATCTAAATTAAACAAAAATAATAATAAAATACATAACACAAATCAATACAATTCCACCCCATTTTATCACAAATAATTAATAACTTAATAACTACGTTTCAAAATACTAAATATATAAATATATGATAAATATTATTCCCAAAAATAAAATTAAACCCAATCTAAATTTTATTTTGCTCCTTAGGCTTAGGGTTAGGGTTAGGGTTAGGGTTATTCGACTCTAAACTCACAATAAAAAAATCGTTAGCCAATTCACTGGTATTCCAGTTATTAGCTGGTTTCTCTGGGTTATCTGTAGTCGAATTTCTTCTATTTCGGTCTTTCTTCTTTGCCTGCTGATTGTGCTTCTTTCTATTACCAGAGTTGTTTGAGCGAGAATTTTGACGACTATGAGTCTTACTTTCTTGTTTCACAGTAGATTGCCCTTGATTAGATTGTATTTGTTGTGACGAAGGAATTAATGCCGGAAGTTGCTGTTGTTGCAATTGATCCTGCTTTTGCTGCGTTTTCTGTGATGATACAGGGGTATTTGAACGAGTAGATACAGGTTGTTGAGATGAATGCAATTGGTGGGAAGGAACATATGCTTGGAGTTGAGATTGTGAAGATGGTGCATTATGTGATAAATGATGTTCAGGCTGCACATACTGTGGCAGTGGTGTAGAATTCTGTGTTTGAGGAATATATATTTGATGTTGAGGAATAGGTGATTGATTGAATGTTTGTTGTTGAGAATTATATTCAGTAGGTGGTTTCATCCGAGAATTATAATGAGCTTGCTCTAAGTTGCCATTAGGTTGATTGTTATATAAGGATTGATCTTTTGAGATTATTCTATCTTCGAATTCTGTAGCGATACCATTCATTCTAGGCTCGCGACCTCCGAATGAATACGCATTTGATGCAGAACTTGCATTCTTTTGTGATCGATTATTTTCAATTTGCTTTTTCGTTTCTGCTTCTAAACGATCTGTTAAATCTTTATTTTGTGCACTAATGTATTCAAGATCCCTTTCCGCATATTCCAATTGTTGAACTCTCAAGTTAAGTTTAGCCACCTCATCAATCTTTTCACTAATCTCCCGGGCTGCAGCATCGTTTATGCTCTTTACTTTCTGGTTAAGAATATCAAACTGTTCTCGACAGTCCTTTAATTCTGTCGATTGAGCTTCGTAATCGAGAGATAGACTTCGAAGTGTTTCTAGTTCTTTCAATTGTGAATCATATTCCTTAACTTTTGAATAAGCATGTTGAAGCTCAACATCTTTATTTTCAAGTTCTTTATTAATATTAGAAATATCATCTTCAAGAGTTTTATTCTTATTCTTAAGGGTCTGATTGGAAGTACGGAGTGAAGCAAGTTCCTTCTGACTGGATTGTTGTAGTTCGGTCCGACTATTTTCAAGATCTTCGACCCTCTGTTTAAATTGATTTATTTGGCTTTTCAAACCTTCAATTTCTGTATTTTTTGCTTTTAGTTGCACTGCTTCATTGTTTTGGATGTTTATATCTTTTTCAAGTTCTTTTATTTTACGTTGTAAATCCGCAACTTGTATTTCAGCGGTTTTAAGTTGTTTTCGAAGATTTTCTTCTTCTTTCTTAAATTTATTATCATTCATGCTAATTTTACGTTCTAAATCTTGATTTCTATTATTCAACACTTCAAGCTTATTATTAAGATCACTAATTTCGGATTGGAATGATTTTTCGTTGTTACGCGATATATCCTCTTGTAGGTGTAACGCACTATTTTCTTTGATCATATCATCATAATCATTTGTCAGACTACGCATTTGTCCTTGCAAATTAAATATTTCATTTTTAAGACTTCCGTTATGGGTTTCAAGTAGTGTTGTTTGTGTTTCAAGCGACCTTATCTTGTTTTTTGCAAGTTCAAGATCCTTATCAAGACGCATAGTGTTGCTTTTATTACTAGTTATCTCTTCCTGTAATTCAGAAATTAAGGTCTCTTGTTGTCGTTTTCTGTCATCATTATGACGCTCCCTCATTTTGAGGTTTTGGTTTTCGCTCATGAGTCTATTATTTTCGGACGTCAAATGTTGATTCTTCGTGTTTAATTTGAGGAGTTCGGATTCTACTTCGGTAAGGCGGCTTTGAAGAGCTTGTGAATTCTTAATTTCATTAGTAAGTTGTTGTTGTCGTTCTAGCATATTTCGGTATTCGTTTTGTAATTCTCGAAAACCAGTTTTAAGTTCTGTTTGTAAATCATGATGCATATTCTGAAGTTCAGTATGACGCTGAGAAATAGAACCTTGAATATCACCATCTTGGACTGCCTGAAGAGAAGAAGCTTGATTAAGACGACGGTCCTCGTGTAGGTGTATCAGCTGATCATGTGTGGTTCGTACTTCCTGATGATGGTTCCGTAATTCTTGAAGAATCTGGTCTTGCAATTTTTGCAGTATAGTTCCATCATAATCTTTATTCTTTCCGTTTACACCAGAACCTTCAGGCATATGTTCTACAAATGTATTTTTAACTTCAGATGTAAGTGTATCAATACTTTTTTGAAACTCCGATTCCATTCTACTGGTAAGTTCAGTGACTATCTTTGTTCGAAACTCTTCCCAGTTAGGCATGACAGTTCCTTCAACATGATTAGGTAGATAAGGTGTATGTGGTCCAGTCATATAATATGCGTTATGATCATACCCATTAGGAGGGAAGCCATATGGTGGAGCTTCTGACGTAATAAGCGGTTGACTCGAACGACGTTTTTTCTTTTGATAAGATGGTTCTATATCGCCATTTACTTCATGGTTCGGCTATGTTTAAAAAATTAGAATAAAATTACAAGAAACTGGTTATAAGTAATTTTGGCATTTATTAATTAATATAAATAATAATAATAATAATAGCAAATACCTTCTCTTTCTTTACGTTCTTTTTTTTTCTGTCATCATCATGTTTTTGTTCTGAAGCGTCAATTGATTTGTTAGCATCTACTGATATGCTAGCAGATGAAATTGGAGTGAATTCCGGCGCAAAGGCATTTAAATTACTTTTTCGTCTACGAGCTTTTTCTTTTTTATCGAGATCGTCTTGATCTACCTCTTTATCATCTCCATTACTTTTTGAAGATGAAGCAGTAGCATTATTATTATTATTCGAAGAATTATTTGGATTGGATTTATTCCTTGGTGGAAACGTGAAATCTTGAGCCAATCTTCCGTAATTTGAACCTCTAGGCTTGTTCTGATCAGGAGTTGTTCCTAATAATCTTTGTAGTGCAGCAACAGTTTCTGGAGGCATTTCTTGAGTTATATTTTCCTTTGAAATAATAAAATTTGTTTAAATTTTTGTATAAGTGTCCTCCAAGATGGTTAGATTTAAGAAATATGCGCGCTTTCATCATAGACGTCATATTATTACCCGAAATTTGTCTCACATTACACTCATAAGTCAATTTTATTTGACAAATTATGTGACATCGATAATAAAAGCACACATCACTGGGACATGGGAGTGGCTGTGTGAACTCACCTCCCGTCTCGTCCCATTCAGAGCATCTAGTGTGTCGTGAATATGTGACTCCTTTTCCTTTCTTGCATTTATGTTAGGATAATTTACAATTATTGCTGTATCTTGTTGAGTTATCTGAAAGATGTCCGGCTTTGTATCGATGACTGGTTCTTCGTGGGAATCCTTTAGAAGAGATTCCGATGAATTAGATATTTATAAAACTCTTACAAACTCAATATGCCAATGTAATGCAAATAGCATCTTAGGAAGATGTGTTTGGAATAAAAGTTTAATTTCAAAGAAATGTATGACTTACCCTTTCATTTGTCGGCTTTGCCGCAATTTCCCCTTGCTTTTCTCCTTGCTTTTCTCCTGTCTCATCGTCTAACAGTGGAAACTTAGTTTTTGGAAGTTTTACTGTAGGATCAGTGGTCTTTGACTTTTTAGGCTTCTTTTGAGCTGCTGGCGTTGGTGATGTCATTATTATTTATTTGTAAGAATTTCTCACTCAGTTACATGCGACAGGATGAAGTTTTTAACGATCACGAAGGATTTTTGCATCAACAAAGTATATAACCGACTTAACAGTAAAGTTTTTTTAAGTTTTCAACAAAACGTAACGTATTTTATTTACTTTTTTTTTTTAAAAAAAAAAGAAAAAAAATAATAAATTGAAATAGTTGCAAAATTATGTTCTCTTGCGAGACGAAGACAAGAAAAACAAGGATGAATGACTTATAAAGCCCCAACTGTAAGTTGCAGATGCGGACGTACGCAGCTCTGTTGATTGACAATAACAGTAACTGATAACGTTCGTACCAGAATACATTTTCAAAAAGGTTATTCATGGAACCTTACACAAGCCCTGCAAATCGTAAACAAAGCTTACAACAATATTCAAGAAAATCTTTTAACATCACATCGCACTGGATGCTCTAATGTCGCACCAAACTCTACTTAAGCTTATCAAGACAATATAATAATATAATACAGTATATTGGTACATACTTAGTCCAAGAATCGTATAATAGTTTATAAATATTCCGGAGGATCACTGTTCAAAATTAACTCTCATATGAGAGATCACGATCAGTAAAATCAAATTGTTTATAATAACAGATAATAAAAATATATATATTAGAGCTTTTTTAATTCTACAAACTTAGAATTAAAAAAAGAAAGCTATTTAAAGTTTATAAGAAATTTTAATAATATAATCAATTTGGCTTGTTTTTTTTTTTATAACGATAATAACAAGTTACAATATTAGATTTACATGATGCTCCGACGACGTTGTTCTGCTGTCTGAGTAGTAGGATTGGGGGGCATGGAAAATTTTTTGGGCATGCCTTTGTCAAGGGCATTCCCCTCTGTGCTCTGGGCATGCCCTCTCTAGATATCATAATTGATTAATCTAACTTATGTCAATAAAATCAACGAAACTTCATATGTGAGGTTTTTCTATACGTATAAAAGAGTAGGAGGCATGCCTTTTAGCCAAAGGGCATGCCCTAGGCATGCCTCCGATGATCCCATATGGGCGGATCTGTTTCCATGTGATTATTGAGAATTTATCCTCTGATTGTTTAACGTAATAATAAAAAGTGATACCTACTTTTTCGAAGCCAAAGAAAGGTTTCGCAAACTGACACCAGTTCTTTATTTTTAATGACTTTATACCATTTTTTTCTAATTCTAAAATAGGTCTAACTTTTTACTAGCGACTTGTAGTTGGACATTCGTTTGGTTTGCTTGGCTCAATCATCCAGGTAACTTATATACACTTTTTTTGAGAACGTAACATTTCATTACGTAAAATATAAATTTGATCTTTTATTTCACAATACTATTTTTTTATTTCACAATACTATTAATGCTTCTACTTGTATCTATAGAGTTCTCTGCTACGCTTCGGACAATTAGGTTTAATTTAATAATATAGACTAAAAAGGTCACAATGCATCTAGTAAAAGTAGTATTGACAGAATTATTATACTGTTTAAAATATATTAATAAAAAGTGGAATTTTTAATTGTCATGATTTTTTTTTTGTTGAAAGATGACAATAATACTACTTCGTATAATGTAATATTTATTGATTGATTTGATTGGTTAGTATTATAGCATGTTTTGATCATCATACGTGACAAAAAATCGAATTTTGTGACATATCTGAATGGAAACAAATCCGCCCATATGCCAATTAGATCATCATCGAACATCTTGTTGGGTAAATAGATGTACTGAGCCAAACGAGTCGATTAGCGGATCGGCTACAGGTCTACTAATGAAGCATCATTATTATTACCAATAGTACTGTACTGATTTGATATTGATCGAATAAGTTGCATAAGCTTCGGTCAATTTTTTATTAGCTGTCCCAGAACGCCCGATCTTTTCTTTGAATAGTAGCTCGGCTCGGCTTAAGATTGTTCGGTTCGGCTCTGGTTTTTAGAACTGAAGAATCGGCTCGGCTTGGTAAATGTTAGCCGTAAGCATCTAAAATCGAAGAAAACTTATACGACTGTGAGACATGAAATTCGCCTGCTGGCAGATACTCAAACATATCAGAGACTACTACGGTATAAAATCGCCAATATAACTATTGATTTTTTATGGAAGCGGAGCGGATCGATCATCCAGGACAGTGAAAAAAATTTATTATGCGCATGTGCGCTCCGCACAAATTTTATTTTTTGAATAAAAATGTAATTTAAATGTGCGGTAAATACTAGGGTTGTTAATGGAGTGGAATGGAATGGACTCCAATCCAACCGGGTTATACTTCAAATTAATGGGCTGCACTCCGGGTTGTACTCCAGATTGTATTCAGTTGTACTCCAGGTTGTACTCCGGGTTATACTCTAGAATAACTTTGTTCCATATATGCTAGAATAATTTTGCTCTATGGGGTTCTAGGCACTCCATATATGAAGCAACCCAGGTTTTCTAGGTCACTCTATATCTGGAGTAACCCGGGTTATTATATAATTCTTAAAACATCAACCCACTCCGGAGTATGTACAAGTTTAATATATACAATACAAAAATAATTTATAACGATAATACTCTTACAAAAAGACCAAAAATATTGTTCTATACCCTAGTAAAAAAGTTTGTCGCACGGTCAATTTTTAACCAATCAGATCGAGAGAGGCGGCCTTACTTGACTTTACTGGTTTCTGCATTCCGATTGGTCAATTAAAAATTTTTACTTTTTCTGATTTATCGTTATATATAGTGATGTTAAAAATAAACTTTTTTTCCTTCTCTATTTTTCGGTGAATAGACAAGAAAACTTGTTTTAACCATGGTGTGTTTTGTATTTGTCGCTTAAGAACTTTTTTTTTTTTAAAAAAAAATAAAAGAACCTAGCAAAGTTGTCTGTAAAAGAAATGAAATTACTTAAAAAATTTGGTTGATTGTTCTTACTGATCAAAATTTCTGAAAAAGCCCTCTCATAAAACCTTCAGGATTAAACGTGTCCTTGGAAAGAAACAAAAACAAAATCGTCCTATTCCTCAATGGATCCGTCTTCGTACTGGAAATACAATTAGGTAAAAAAAAATTTTATAAGGTGCTTTCTCGAAAAAACATGATCAATTCTAAATCGATCATTGAATAAATCCTTTCCAGATATAATGCTAAACGTCGTCATTGGCGTCGTACCAAGCTCAACATTTAACTAGGGTTACGACTCAAACCATTATTTGAATTATGACATTTAATACATAGTTCGGGTTCGGGAATCGGATTTCTACTTCATTTGGGATAACCAAATCCCGAATTATATGTCTCATTTTCGGTCAATAGTGTCAAACTCAAAAATCAATCAAATTTGTTAATAAATGCTATAAATTATTAAAATTAAAAACCCTAGAATAGAAGTGACAGTCTAATAGATATATTGAACATGTTTCATAATAAGTGAAAATTAATTATATAAGACTATATAAAATTAATGATTGATTTTCATAAACCGGCCAGGAAAATTTTACCCAAAAAATTTTTTTTTTATAAAGTTTCGATAACAGGGTGGGTTTTTGTATAAAATTTATATGAGAATTTCCATTTGTACACTAGTACACACATACACATATAATAAATATCTCAAAATTTCGCCTATAAAACTGCTTTTAGAGCTCTAATAAAAAAAAAATTCCTTGCTAAAATTTGCATATACTGTATATAATGCCTAGATAAAATATTAATCAGGGTTTATGTTTTATAAAAATTAGTTTAATTTCGATTTACATAAATTAAAAATAATACCAGTGTACAAACACTTAGTGTAATTTACAGCTGTTTTCATAAATTCTGGGACATCTGGCAAAAAATGGTCCGAACAAATATTGCCGGTTCGATAAGTTT